AAGAGTTGATAAAATCGCTTCTACCCAGACTTTTTGAAAGAGATATAATTGAAAATAAAAAGAGAAATAAATTTCTTTGTTGAATTTATATTATGTTACGAAATTTCATTATTATAATGTGATAGCTCTTAGACAGCCGCTATGAGACAACCTTCTGGGGACGTCACAATTGCGGATTTTGTTGTCCTTGTCTTTTGCAGAACATTTGAAACTGTATTTTACATTTTGTTTCTCTGGGGTGATTTTATTTGAGCCTGTATACTTGAATACATATTTTTAATGCACACAATATACTCTTGATTTCGTTTATGGTGCAAAAGTCACACGGGACAATTCTTTATACTTTTTAATATTTTGAAGAATTGTTCTTTTGGTTTTTTTGTAACTTAAATGTAAATTTAAATTTTAATAATTTTTAATTTTAAAGTTTATACAAAACTTTTATAGATTTTTTAAACACACGCTGATCCTCTCATAAAATAAGTTTGATAGCAAACATATTTTTTTCACAGAAAGTAAATTTAACTGTCAACAAATTAATTCAAATAGAACTGATACTAAAATACAAATCTTCCTTCAAGTGCTATGACAGTAGAGATTCAAGGGTTTACTAGGCTCGTATAATTAAATGCGACAATAACATCGAGCTCCGCGTATTATAACTGCATTATCTCCTTAATATTCATGAGTGACTAACTTCTCCACTGAAACTGGTGAGGAATTCTGCGACTTATCCGCCGCATCGAGCTCGTCCCATGAATATGTAGCCACATGAGAACACACCGTTTAAGATAAGCTTTCTTGCTGCTTTAAAATAGAACAAGATGCGTCTATTACTATATTTTGAATATTTTGCTTTTATACAATGATCAAGTAAGTAGAATAACTTATATTTGATTGACCTAAGAGTTGATTGATTATCCGGGGCACAATTCTTATCCAAATTAAATAGTGTGTTCATGCCAAAATCTAGATGTAGGTTTATATAAGGAAATTGTATTTGTAGTAAATCAATTTATGAAATAATTGAGATGTGAATGGATAATCAACAAATAATTAGATACACTTCATTATTTATAACGTTCCACCATCGTACTAGATTTCCCATCAATTCAAATTTAATGGAAAATGTAATGTCTATACAAAAATCAATATCAAAATTGGTTTTGAGTTCTTCACAATCCATTTACTTTAAGAACTTAGTGCTTTGGCAGAACGTTTTGGCGGTCCTTATTTCGACATCCTTTAGGACGATACTTGAGAAATGAAGCGGTGCCTTTTGGGCCTTGCTTCCGCCCCTCTGAGGAATGCCCGAGATAAGAGAGACGTTTTGGCGCCATTCATGTTTATAGCAGGGCAAATGGCCCTAGACTGCTCACTTATTTTAAACAAGTACCCACACTCACACAATGTACTATAGAGAGCCAAATAATGAAAAACCGCCTTTTTTATTTACATGACTACACACGAATTTAAACTTTGGACCATAAAAAGTTGTTCAGAGCAAACTTTACTCCTCTAAATTCAAAATTCTTTTAGTTTCTTAAAGTAAGTATAAGGCATAATAAACAGTATAACGATTGTTTAACGTTTGAAGTATCTAAAAATTTAATATCTAAACTGACTTTAAAAATTTCGCGTTAGATAATTACAGTGGCCGTTTGTGTATAATTATCGTGATCATGTATTATTTTTCTAACTTGGCATCTTCGCTAGGTTAAGGAGCCGTGGTCACAAGTTAACTGTGTCACTATAGCTAAAAAGTTAAGCAAAACCAATAACTCATATATTATTATCTATTTGACCTCGTTAGCCCCCGTATTTTAATATTATATTTATGGTAACATTATCTTTTCCTTCCTTTAGATGTAAATAGGGTGATTTTTGTAATAAAGGGTAATTTTTGAGACTGTCCTGAATAGTGACAAACAGCTTGTGCTGAAAACGTCCGATACAAAAAACGAAACACAGTGTTGTCCGTTTAGATGGCAGCTCTCAAGGGAGCTTGCACAACAAACTTTTTGTTTTATCGAACTGGTAATTTTCATTTTTTGTTTTATTGTTTAAACCTCTGGAGATTTATGACCGGCCACTTTGCATTAATTTTAAATTTATTACGTATCGCTCTGAGGCGTCTCTTTTTTAATTAAGCTTACTTTTTTATTTATATACAGTAAATGCTAATTTTAAAAAGTAGTTACACATAAACATTGCTCATTTTATTGTATTCTCTATAATTGTAGGAACATTTCAGAGATTTGACGTCAAACTTTAAACCTAAGCTTAGCCTTCTGCCAGACTAGTGAAAGATGAGGTTGTGCAGGTGCAGATAAGAGTCAAATTCTTATTCAACTTACATTTTATAAAATAGATCAATAAGGTTTGATGTAACTCACAGAATTGACTTACACTCTTTTGTTTGAAAGTAATTCTCGCTCTAATATTTTATACTCCAACCTTATAATATAAACTGTATTCAGAATAAACCGCATAACGCGATCATTAATGAAGATTAATTGTTAACGACACAGTCGTATACAATGGTAAGTGAATACGCACTAATGAAGTTATTAGTACAGCTTGTATTTAGACAGGAGTACTTATATTACATTATGTTGTGAAAATATTACTTTATGTTAATAATGACGAATGCTAGTTGAAAACAATGTTTACATCTACACTGCCAGAGACAAAAGAAATGTATAATGGAATAACAGAAAACTAATTTGAAATAGAATGTACATATATAATATTATTTATAATGTACATAATGTTGTTTTAGATGAAATTTAACATCTAATAATTTTCTCACAATATTCTATAGTCAAATAAACTAGGAGTGGATATGACTGTAGACAGATTGCATAAACATAAGTTACTCTAGTTATTTACTTACATTTGTAAACCTGACTTAGAACAAACGGAAGTGTCGCAACATATTTGAGTTCCATATCGCAGCGGACATATTATTGTTTGGACTGTTTTAAAATACAAATATGTGTTCAAATCCTCACATATATTGTATCATATGAAACTACTTAATCCATAATTGTGTTTGGATACATACAATTTGTTTTAAACTTACCTTAAACACATATCTATCCTGACAATACTACAAATTAGATATATTACAGATGTGGTTTACTTCGTTTAATGTTTTTTTTTGATTTAAACTTCCTACAATGATGATTGATTTTATAAAGGTCTATTTTTTGTTAATTTCATTTTCAACCGTTGTGACAATTAAATTTTCTTTTAACATACCAGAATTAAAATTGGTTTTTATATTTTTATATAAGTTTTTTAAACTATAATAATTAATTTGAACATGTTTCTATTTCTCAGTTATAGTTTATGACAGGGGATATTATATAAATGTAGAGAATATACATATTAGGGTTAGCCCAAATGTTTAAACTTTTCTTTAGGGGGATATCGAGCTCATAAAGTTTAATCCACTTTAAGTTTCCCCTTAAATTTAATCCATTTCATTAAATCCCCTGGTGTTGCACCAATAAAACCTACGGATGTCTAGAACATTGTGACAAATAGAATACGAAAATCACTTCTTAGATACGACTGTGGGGACGGAATCATTTATCTAAAAGCCTCTCCCTTCCGCTATCAAAACTAAATCAAGTAGGGCGAGAAACATAAACTAAACCGCCCTAACAGTAAGATAAAATGTAAAGGGAATTTGATTCACTTGTGTGACAGTACACGTAGCCGCACGCTCGTCATCCGACCTCCATAACGACATCTTTATGAAGCCTTTTAGTTTATATAAGTTCACAGAAAAACAAACCAAAATATATACAACATAACAAAAAAAAATTTATAACTCGAATAATCCGCAGTTCTCATTATTGAGTATAAAATTTAATTTAACTGCATATGCTCGTGTACGAAATTAATTTCTGTTCAAAAAGTGATAGCATAATATTAATTAAGCTTGGATTATAATTTTACTTTAGAAGAAATGTAATACATAATAAATATATTTACAGTTTTTGTATTTCAATTGAGTTTATGGTTTTATGTTATAAGGAAACTTTTATATAAACTCATTTGAATTGTTTAAATAGTTAGATAATAGTTAGAAAATTCTCAGAGAGTACAACAATCTTTCAAATTCCTTGAGTTCAGTAAAAAATAGATTGCTTCTCAGTGAATATCTTCGTCCAAAGTACGAATTCTTGAGATAAGAACGAATCTGTGAGCCAGCATCTGGTCTGGTAATTAAGCGCATCTGCCTATGTTCAATTTTGAAACCCGGTGGATGAGAGTTGGCCCGTACGCCGTCGGGTCCATTTGGGAGGGTAGAGCAAATTGCTAAACTTTCAATTAAAGAGTTGTTATTCAAACCGCTTCCAGTTCCTGAACGAAATTATGTTTTATTTCGAAGCGAAAACTCTGATGGATATTTGTAGCATATTTTACATAAGTCACTTTACGATTTCTTTAACAAAACACGTTTATTTTAAATGTATAATTTTATTCTCTAACTAGATATTGAACGATAAATATTAATGCAATGTTTGTATGTATCTATAATGAAATTATTAATTATTAAAAAGTGTTAAAAATAAAGATATACGAGGTATAACGACTTATTTTCCCATTCGAGAAATTTTATTCACAGTAATGTTCAAAATTAAGTAATTCGTTCAATTATTTTTTTATACCTAAGATAACTTATAGTTTTTAATATAAAACAATTATCAACAAAATATTTTCATTAAGGCAACACATTTTGTATTTTTATGATTTGAAACTCTTTTAAATTACTTTGTCATATTTATGTGTTTTTCATAAGCAAGTTTGTTAACATCGAGTCATCAAAACCTAGAACAGTTGCAATGTCGATTACGGAGTGCATTGGCATTGCAGTTGAAAGTGTAAACGGATAGTTTGAGGTAACATTCGTGTCCGAGCTGACAGTTGCATAGCGACGACTGAATACCAGAATGTAAATAGGGACGAAGGTTTTGCTCGCAATCATGTCAGAAATGTGAGCCTGTTTACTTGCGACGTTTACATATTCATCGCATAAACCTAGTGCACGTTTCATGTGAGCGTAATTTTAATAATACTATGTTTACTCTCTGCTATGATATATCTTTGTTTTAGAAAATGGCATTGAAAAATCGTTTCTTTGTTTAACGGTAGTTATTTATACAATTAGAATTACTGGATCTCTTAGAAGTAAATAGTTCAACGTTTATGTGACCATTTTATTTTATATTGAACCAATAAAATTCCAATATAAAAGAAACTCTAAGTTTTCAGCTTAATATTTTTTTAGGATTTAAGTATCAAACCCGCAACACCTACTCAAATTAGAAATAGAATTATTAGAATATTCTTTGAAAGTAATTTCTTATGTAATCAATACAAACGATTTATGTTAAAATGAAGAGAAATAACATACATTTTCGTATTTCAGAAGCGTAAAAGTTGCGCTCGCTCGATGCGCCGGCGTCGGCCGCGCCCCACGAGCGAGCATGCTTGTACAGCTGCTAGTATTCACGACGGCGCTCGCGGCAGCCTCCAGCGGAAAACACGGTAAACATTAATATTAAATAAAATAAAATATCATTTACAAAAAAATTAATATCCTTATTAAATATATATTAAGTCAAACTATTAACATTAATTGAAGTTTAAGTGATTGTTTCTGTAAAATAAATATGTATATACTATACTACTTCTTTTCAAACCTAACTTCTAAACAAAATTTACCTTTGAATTTGAAATAAATTTAAGACAAGTAATGTTTATTCTTATATAAACCACTGTTACAATGAATAAAGTATATATAGGTCATAGGTTTGATGTAGGAAAACAAAGACGCAGAGCACAGAAGTTGTTATTCAAGCTGAAACCTTACTTTTACTTTACGTGTACTATAATTTACAATCAATTGTGTCTCAAATTCTATGCAAACCAATTATACAAAACAAACAAGGTAGTTAATAATGTATCATTATAGAATAGTTGTTGTTTGACAAGTATATAATATATTCTAATTTATACAATATACATAACTTAGTTTTGAATTTGATTCTTAATAGGTTTCCTAACTAATAACATTGATGGAGCATAAAGCTTTAGATCGAACAACTAAGAAACATCTTATAAATATATATTACTATTAATCTTGCGTATATGAAGACATCATTGTAAAATGTATAAATTATAACATTAACAATGTATATACATGTGATAGTCGGGGCAGGTATCTTAATAAAATATAATACATATTACATGAAGTCTTTAGAAATTAAAACATCGTTTCTGTGTTATTCATTTTTATATTTAGTATATAAAATATTAAACTCTCAGTCTGGCAGTCTACGTCTGATAAATTTTGAATCTGTGGAAAATAATTATACGAAACTTCTCGTGGCGATAGTTGCGGAGTCTGAGTAAGTTATGGTATATTTCGATATAGAAAAAGTGAAATATTATAGACTAAACATTAAGACTTAAGTTTTCTCTTGTAACTGAAGTACTATCGCATTTAATTAAAGGAAATATTACTTGCAATTACTTTTGTTGTTATTTAGACATGTATTTGGATAAATATACGGTTTCTGATATAAATGTACATCTATCGCTTTAAGACGTGCTATGTTTTACGCAGAATTTTGACCACGGAGGTCAAATCCGTAAAGGCCCAGCCAGATTGATATTTTAGATATGAACTATCGCGTCTGAAACGGATCCAATATGGCTTACGTATAAATCGATTGCCATGTCGCAGAATTTATTTTTTATGTAATGTTTTTTGTTTCTCATATAAATTTTATACATGAAACATGAAAAATATAAAGGTTCGCGTTATTCAATAACATAAATACACAATTTTAAATAAAGGCACACGGAAAAAATAAACATGAAAAAAATAAAAAGAGTTTTAATATTTTACATAAAAACAATAACCAAATGAATTAAATACCTATAAACTTTGAACAATTGTTCTATAAGTCTGTTGATTTATGATTTACAAATATAAAATAACAGCAAGATTTCAAACATTTTTAATATATCATTTAAATCTATATTTTTACTACACAAAGGAAATGTTTTCGTTTTAATTAAAAAATATTGAATAAAAATCAATTAGATCTTCCGTTTAAGGTATACATTTTTTCTTTCTTATTCTTGTTTTAGGAAATCTGCTTATGAAGATATGATAATGATATTATGTTTTAATTAAATTCTGGTTGCGATAACACCGTTACCCTAGAGACAACCTGAACTCCTTTGTCTAGCATCCTTGGTCATTGCAAAACATAATATTATGTACTAAAATGTACTTCACTCGTTAATCATATTACAGAAAGATTATTCAACGCTTTAAATTAAAGAAACTTTGACCTTTTTCATAAATTAATTTATTTTACTATAATATTTTTCGCACACACCAACAACATATTTTTAATTTCTTTAGGTAAATAAAGAAATTAGAAATTTACGTAAACATTACAAAGAAGCCTTTTCAGTCTTCTAACTTTTTTTCATTCTTTGCTCAAGTATTAATTTCATAATTTTTCTTAATTTAAGGTTTTTGGTGCCAAAAATTGTTTTATAAATAATAATAATCAAAGACATGTTGCATAAGCATCAACATAAAAAAATATCGTTACCCAAGTAAAATTTTTTTTTCTGGAAATACAGACCATACGGAGCGAACTTAATCATTTTCTGTCAGCTCTTTATAGTTACGTTAACACGGATACAGGAAAATGTCAAATGTCGAGCATATTCTCCTTGTTTTTGAAACAATATTTTATGCAGAATGTCGGCTTGGTGGTAATTTTATTTCCATATACATATGTATATCTTGTATATTATTTAATTTATTTTATCGTGATTTTAAAGTCATTAAAAAAGAGTTATATTATTTGGTTTGAAGTTAAATTTAAAAGCTTTCGGCTTACAACCAAAAGCCATTACAACATTTAATAGAAGAAAACGGCAAATATTAGATATACGTTGAAACTTATAAAAAGTAGCAAACGTTGCCTTTGTGAACTTACAACTGTATCCCCAGAGGTTTATGTCTTTTCGGATCAAGCGGCTTACCGGAGGACGCGCGAGAAAACTCTTTTCCCTCATAAATATTTACTTTATGAAATAACGCGCCTCGAGCTCAGCTAAGTCTTACGTACCGGGTGGCAGCAGGTGATAACTGCCAAATAACAAAAAAAAAAACATCCAGGCGTATTTGAATTAAAAGTATAATACGTATTTCTTTATCCACATGTGTTGTTATAATTTATTATCTTATCCACTTCTGGACTACGAAGTAAATTGATGTACGTACTAATGGTTTCCAAATCTGTTATGGAATGTAAAAGATATAGTATTTTTAAAACTCCGTCTCTCCTTTTTTAAATAACACCGTATTCAAGTAAACTGTGCAGTTAGCTAAGTGGAGAAAGTGTAGGTGAACTGTAAGAAAGAAAGAAAAATCTTTTATAAATTAATAAATTCTAAACTGAAGGGACTGTGGAGCGAAGCACAATGTACACAATACTGAAGCAGACTTTTCAGAACGTTGCTTTTATTTTGAGATACTTTATTAAGGAGTTACACATGAAGATATTAAATAAATATCATATTGGATTTTTAAATTAACCTCTCTTCTCAATCCCATTAATCAATAATTTCAATTAATTTTTCTTTCTAAACTACTTTAAAATGTAGTAACTAATTTAAGTTTGGTAATAAGCTTTATGTCAATAACTATTCAATGTGACTGAAAAATGTATTAATAATAATTTGTTCTATAATTAAAATCATCACACATAATAGCACAGACGCTGCAGTTGACATTAACTAAAATTGACATCCTAAATTGAATTACTTCTATTTCAATAAAGATTTCCATTAAACCCGCGTACATTTATCATGTATGTAAGTGAGTATGTTTCATATTTTAAAATAAATATATTATTCTTTATATTATAAAAGTGCTAGGCATTTAAAAAAAAAGTAATCTCTTGATAGATATCGATTAAGAGATTCTGTTGGGAAGTTGTAATTTTATCGAACTGTCAATTCATAGATACGTGAGTTAACACGGTGTTCAACGACTGTGGGATAAATGATAGGAACAAGTGACGTGCGAAATATTCACATTGGTTCGCAACTGACGCGAGGACAGCGTCCGAAACTCGTGAAAAGTTACATCCAATTACCAAAAATCGATGACGCGTATAACATCACTTCAATAAATTTGACAACTATTGTTACAGTTCATATTGGAGTTATATAATAAGCGTTAGGTCGTTTATTACAATGTGTGATAGTTCTATGGAATTATTGTAATTCAGTACATCTTTTGTGCTAGCACTTCTTACAGTGTGAAATAGGACAAAATATAATTTTTAAACAATATAAAAACTTATAATCAGTAATAATATATAATTAGCTATAATTATCACTATAATCTGTGTTAAAAAGAAAAAAGACTAAAAATTTTAAAAATTTATCAACTTGAAGACGAAACTGTTCACCATATTTGGATTTATATTAACCAAGAAAAAATGGATGAAAAAGTTTTAGGAATGTGTTATATGGAAATAAAATTCTCTGTTTTATTTTGTCATTATTATCTCACAATTTTTTCTTAACATATTTAATTCATATTATAACCAACACTATCATAATATATTTTTAATTGGATTGTAGGAGCTTTTCTTGTGCCAAAAATAAATCATAACGCAATAAGTAGATTTAAATGACAAATTGTTCTTGAAATTGTATTATATTAAGTAATAAATCAGTATTAAAGAATTCCTACAACAATACATTTTTTCATTTTTACAAGCAATCAATTTGACAGAGTCATAACGTTTGAGTTTCCAGAAACAATCAAAGTCGCACAGATAACATAGCAATTCGATTGCAGAAGCCCCGAATTGCAGTTTTTCTTTTTGGGTTTCATTCAGCAATCTGAATACGGAACAAGATTAAAAACCTGCCTTTAAAGGATTCGAAAGGTTTAGGAATGAAATTGTCGACAACAATAACATACAATACTTTATAACATTTCAATAAATCTGAAACGATAAAAAAAAATGAGGCCGTAAAGATTTCTCAACAATATACATACTTTTAATAAGCAGTTTCCATAGAGATTCCCTATAATATAGTTACTTTACGCAAGTGTAAAACATTGTTTGACAAATCATGTTTCTATTAATATTTAACAACACAGTACTTTTTCATATTGTATTTGCATATTATTAATTGAATTATAATTTTAAATGAATATGCATGTGAGTGAGTGCTAATTGTATAGATTAAGTTATTATAAGCGTTATATTAATTATTTTATAAATAACATGAACATGCAAAGATAGTTGTGAGTGATAGTTTAATAATAATTAATTATAAATTATAAATTAACCGACATATGGTACACAGTTCAATCAATCTGTTAATGTAAATATTTCATAACGTACGATCTAATTACTTTCTTTTGTATCATCTGCTACAACATTGCATAAAAACAGTAATCAATCACATAACAAAGTATTATGCTTCTCACA